ATCACTCAATCATTCAGCTGGTTGGTTTCTAGGTTGCTGGTGAGATAATAATAGTGCCATGTAGCGTGCTGAGGTTCAGCAGGGGTTCAGCAACAACTCTTTTTCCCGGAGCCCCTTAGGAGATTAATCCAGCCATGAGGATGAGAACTTTAGATTTAGTTCTTCATCTCCTCCACTGAAGTCATCGTATTTATGGATCTTTTTATTGCAAGCAAATTTTGCTGACATTGATATGTTTGGAGAAAAATAGAACCTGGTTTTTAATAGAAAAACAAAAATTAAAAATTTAATTCATTCAGCAGTATTTTCCAATACATCTTAACCACATATGAAGCCAAAACTCATAAGATTTTTTCCCCCCAAAATTACAATGAAATACATTTTCACTTTTCGGTTTAAAAATGTATTAAAAAGTTTATCTCTGAACATCGTCAAAAGTTTTATACAAAATACCCTTGTTATTATCCTTCATCATATCTCAGCATGAAGACTGTTCAAGGAAACAAAGTGGGGATTTCAGACATTTTAAGAAGCCTCAGAATACTTTCAAATAAAGATTTATAAATGCACTGTAGCTGTAGACTACAAAAGCTAGAATTTGTTTGTATCACAGCAAACAGTCATATTTTTAGCAACTTGTAAGCTAAAAATAAGTCACATTTAAAGGATCAGTTCACCTCAGTTGTAACAAAATCTAGCCACTGAAACATATTACGTCCTACTTCTGAGATATTTCCAGGAAAGCTTTACACTGCTGAGTTTTTCAAGTGTGATCTTTCAGTGGCAAGTCATATGAAAATCCTATTCAGCCTAAATCAACCGGGCTGACACAATATAACTTGAAACCTGATAAATCAAACCTGTTATTTGTGGATGTGGTTTCAGTTAACTGATCGTTCAATATCCTTGTTTTCACTTTTTTTTTTTAACCTTATATTTCTTTCACACTTCTATAAGTAGAGTCAAGTAATGACATGTGACCAATAGTAAAATCCAGTTCTTTTAAGAAAGAAGACTTTCTAAACCTCCCACAGAATAAAAGAAAGTACAACCCGCATATGTTAAGCAATCTGTAATGCAGTTGTTTTTTCTATCACATACCTCTCTAGGCCGTTGTTTTTGCTCTTCACAAAACAGCGTCGAGGGTTGAGCTGGCAGGTCTGTGAAGCAGCAGCAAGGCAGGGTTACAGGAGTTTTGCTGGAGCTGCTGGGAATCAGTAGGACAAGGTGGCTGGAAGATGGAGCTCTAAATTGAAGCGCTCCAAGCATATGGGAAACAGAGCTCTCCTGCACCTACTGTAATCAGAAAAGACGGGAGGGGAGTCATCCAGAAGAGAGACAGAGAGAGGGAGGGAGGGAGGGAGACAAGGAGGACAAATTAGATAATGGTCCTCCCATAATAACACTGTTAGCCCTGTGACACAGTTTCAGGTAAAGCCCAGGTGTATGAAAAACTTTGTTGAGACTTGTTCTGAAAATCATCACTGAATTATTTGGTTGAAGTATGATCCACTATATCTTCAGTCACATCTTGTCCTCACAACTCATTTCATCTTTACTTTTTGTCATCTTCCTTCCTTTCCTTTGTTGTTTCCACTTCAATTATCAGTATATTTATCTTGTGTTTATATTATTATAGTTATTATATTATAGTTCAATTGCTATAACTCAATTGATTATTGATTCTTCTACAACTCTTTTGTGAGTTACATCAAGGGACTTTATGAGTCATTTTGTTTTACAATCTCGTGCTGCATAATTATAATTAAACCGAATCTTAAATCTTGAATTTATGTAGAATTACATACAATTGCTTTTGACATAAAACAATAACCAGGTTTAAATGATACACATCATCTCACTTGGGATGTGTTATAGTTTGAGATAATTCCGCAGAGTAAATGACACACCACAATTAGCTGAAAAAAGTAGAGCTTGAGCTGTAATAAGTGACCTCACTGTATGGAAAAATATTCCCTGGTGAAGTTGAATATAATTAGTGAAGAATACCCCTCAAATCAGGTCACATAGCCTTTTACAAACACTATTCCCCGGTCACGATTACACTAATGAATGAAATATTTCTATTGATGTTTGTTAGTGATTAATAATCTCAGAAATGTCTACCTGTTATCATACTTGTATCCTGTGGATTTTAGTACACTTATCTCCTATTTTCAATCTATTTAGTTTAATTCTTATTCTACCTACTAATTCCTAGAAATAGACTGAAGATTAATTTTCTGTTAATTTAAAGGTTTATCGTCAAATGACAAAAATTTGCTCCATTTGGGCAGGATGACATGAGGGAGCTGTATGTTCCTTTTACAAAAGCAGGAATACATAATGTTCTGTATTCAAAATCTGTTTAATAACAATTCTTAACACTGAATCAAATGTAATAGGGTTCATTCGTAGTAAGAAATCCATGCAGAATCACCATCTAAACGATGTTAATGCAAACAGTCGGGGACAAAGACGAACACGAGGAGGTTTTCCACTGCAGGAACTCAAACCAAGTACAAGGTAGCACCAACATTAAGCCGTTTTCCACTGCAGGAACTTGTTCTAGGCCAGCCTGAACCGTTGTGTGAAAATGAGGCGCCACTGGTTTCATGGCTATGGATCAGGTTGTCTACTAATCACAAGGCCGCTGGTTCAGTCCCTGGCCCTTCATGTGCCGTAGTGTCCTTGGTATGACAATGAAGCCGAAGTTGCTCCCACTGCCAGTGGAGCACCTTGCAGTGTAGTAAAGCACTCTAAGTGCAGACCATTTACCATTATTTAAACTCGAAGAAGACAAAGACTGTTATTTTTTCTGCCCTTTGAATGTCTTTGTTGAGTTGCAGTCTTCTTCTCTCTAACATGGCCATCAGCAGCATTAAATTCACCATAAAGGATCCCACAGTGAACCCTCCATTAGTCTATTTCCTACTGAAGTTAATCTCCAGTAACTACTATTTGTCATCGTTTTGGCGAACTCAAAGTTAACATTGCAGTCAAAGCTGTCAGATCCTGCACCACATTGGAAACAGAAAGGCTGAAAGCGCAGGTTAAAATGTTTGGAACTGCCCCGTAATCAGCCCTTTTAGCCTTTCTGTTTCTGTTGTGGTCTAGTATCCAAAAACTTTATTAATTCCAAATGTGCCAAAAGAGCGACAAATAATTCCAGTTGTTTGAACAAGTAGGAAATAGAACATTGGAGGGTATGTTACATATAGTATAGGGATTTTTACTTTGTTGATTGCAGTGTTTGAGACAAGATGACTACTCATCAGTGGGAAGATAGAGAGAGCAGGATAAAGTGTCGCTTGTCCTTTCCAAGTTTAACCAGTCAACATCCAGCAGTTTTTCAGGTCCATCCAGTAGTATCTACCCTGGAGGCAGGTACTGCTTTCTCCTTGAAAGAGATTCTCGAGAGGCAGTTGTTGTGGTCAGAACACGTTAACCCTAAAACAGCTTGCAAGTTCCTGCAGTTGAAATAGCGCTTTATAGCAACTTTTAGCTCATTGTTGCGGCTTTCCAGCCTGCAAGTTCTGGTCTTATCAACCTCACTATAAGCAGCAGCAATCTCTAAAACCCCACACAACACTGCCTGCTGAGCACTAAACAGCAGACAAAGCTAGAACCTGTCAACACTGTGGAGCATTTAGTAATTTAAGAGTCAGATATTTTTCTTAGCTGCTGGTGGAGACCAAAACGGAGCTTAAGTCAAGTCAATATTCTCCATTTGGAATGATAACATATGTCCCTTACCCATACTCTGTGAGGGTGACCCACATTTGTGTTTCCTCAAACAGTGACCCCACTAGCAGCAAAAAAAAAAAAAAACAAAACAAACAATAATAGTAAAATAAGTACTAAGTTAGGTTTAGTGGAAGATCAGAGTTTGGCTCATACTAAAGGGTCTTTGTTGTCATGGATAAGGAATGAAAAAGAAAAATGTTACCTTGTGGTTTCAAATGGGAATACTACAGTGGCCCTTTGCTGTTACAGTTACAATAACAAACAGTCATGGTTAAGACAATCAGTAAAAGTTAACTGGTTTGAAAGAGAAAATGAACAGTAGTCATTTATTCCACCTTGTCCACATAGTGTTTGTTTTTATTATGCTGGAAGACACACCAAGAACTAAATAAGCAACCAATACCATGTCTGAGTATTTCCACCTTAGAAATGCAGTCTACTGATGACAGTGATTCAGACCTTGTATGATTTCATATGTAACAAACTTAAGGAACGAGTTTTGTCAGCTTGCAAGGTGGGAGTTAAACATCTAATTCAATTTTGATACAGAAACCCTAAAAAACACCTAAATGACCTATTATTGCAGGAATACCCATTACTAAATATCCATTTATTTACATTAACAAAAGATGCTTAAGTGAAATTTTGGAGAGATTAAACCAAAACTCAAAACAAAATTTATTATTATCTGGCAGTAAACCATGAAAATGAATGACTGGATGTATCTTTTTGTTTTGTTTTGTTTTTGTCACAGACAGAAAGCAGTGACAGATCCTGACCAAATACAGACTTAGTCACACCTGATTCAAATGATCAGGATCGTTATAAGGCTTCTGCAGAGCTTGATGATGAGCTGATCATTTGAATCAGGTGTGTTGGACATGCAGGATTGCGGCCCTCGAGGACCGCAGTTCGACACCCCTGAATTAAAGCATCAATGAATATGGCATTTATCTTGACATAGCCTATTGTATCTATGGCACATATTGTTTGGGCAATATTTAAACCTCATAGTCATGCAAATAAAGCACAAGGAACTGAACTGAATTGAACTGAATTACATAAGAAATGTAGCAGTTATGTAATAACTACTTCTGATTTTCAAATATTCAGTCTTTCGTGTGACATTGAACGCATCAGCATCACGAGCACGAGCGGCCGAGCAGCAGTCAAAACAAAACGTCACCGCTGCGCCGCTGCGACCAGACGCTCACGCAGCCAATCAGGTTAGACGTTACGTAGCGTAAGTACAACTTGAGTACGTGCCAGGCTGCATGGTACGTACCACCGCCACTCTTCCCCTGTGTTGTCGTTTATTCTTCACCTGCTCATGTGCGCTAACTCGTGTTTAAAGGGCTTCAGGAGCTGAGGCGAGCGGCTCGGTCACAGTGTGTCTGTGGTGAGAACAAACCCAGTAGAAGTATGTAATATGCACCCTTACAAACTGTCAGCTAACTGCTAGCTACTTTTAGCCTTTGAAGCTCAGCTGGTAACGCAATGCTGGCCTCTAACCTACCAAATACGGGTTGAATGTATGGTAACTAGTTCAACAGCAAGTTAGCGGTGCTTCATACTGTGTTGCCGCGTGCTTCAAGAAACACCTGTAAAGTGAAGTTATAACTGGGTCACCAGCAGCGAGGGGAGAGCCTGGTGACCTTCCCTGACAGCTGGGTGTGTGTCCGACTTCATGGCTGTGAATGGACTATAACTACATCTGGCCAGAACACTGACAGAACCCAATATGTCAGCGGTACCCAACACGACCCTCACTCGACACCTGTAATTAGAGTTACGTTGAAGTTTCTGGTCGTGGGTTCACTTGTAGAAATGGCTCGCCGCGCAGCGGTAAATGTGTGGTGCCTTGGGAGTCGAGCTGTCAGCCTGCTGTATGGAAGCTCATTTCGTCCCCTCCACACCTCAGTCTGCAACGCTTCATCAAAGCCCAAAGCTGGATTCAAGCCGGAGAAAGTGGCAGTGGTTACAAAGACGACGCGATATGAGTTTGAGCAGCAGCGGTATCGCTATGCAGGGCTCTCTGAAGAAGACTTGAAACAGCTGGTAAGACTGCATTATACTTTCAGGCGTGCCTGTGACCCCTAAGGCAAACACAACTGCTTACATCTTCATTGTCAGCTGATTTTTTAGAGGTTTTCTGTGTTTGCAGCTTGCTATGAAGGGTTCCAGCTACAGCGGCCTTCTGGAAAGGCACAATATTCACACCAACAATGTGGAGCACATTGTGAAGAGCCTGCGGTAAGACGTGATCCCATCATGTATTCATGGTACTTTTGGGGTAAAAAGAGAAGGTTTGTACTTTGCTGCTGTGACCCCGTTTGTATCCTTGTTTGTTTGCAGGAAAGAAGGTATTGATGTACGAGTAGTCAAGAGAGGAGAATACAATGAGGAGGTAGTGCGATGGGCAAATGCCATCATCTCTGCTGGAGGTAGGAATTTCACATTATTTTTTGATTTAGATTTAGATTTTTTTATGTGCTACAGCCTCCTCTGCCTGTGACATTGACTAATTACAAATGTGTACATAGTACATGGAAAAGTCAAACATTGTAATTGTAAGTTTCTACCACACATAAATAAACACAGAATAAAAGAATCTTCCTTGGCATCAACTTTTGTGTCCAGCATGATGTAAAGAATGGGCAGGATTTTAACTTATTCAACCCAGAGGGGGCAAAAAGTCAAGTGAACAAAGGCATTCAGACAACGGATGCAAGTACACAATACAAGTTCTCTAACTGCAGTTTGTTTTGTTAGGTGATGGAACAATGCTACTTGTTGCCAGTAAGGTTTTAAGCAAGGACAAACCAGTTGTTGGAGTAAACACAGACCCTGAGAGGTAAAACACTGAACTCTCTGGGAAAGATAAATCAATGAAAAAGAAAAGTTGTGGGATTGTAGCTTGAAAAGTAGTGAGAAAATCTTCTTGATATGTTGGTACTTAAGTAACCTGAGCACATAATATGATCTCATTAACTTTGATTATTTGACAGTGTTTTCAGCTGAATTCACTTTATATTTTTCTGCTCACCAAAGGTCAGAAGGTCATCTGTGCCTGCCTGTGCGGTACACTCGTGCCTTTCCAGAGGCACTGGACAAACTCTGCCGTGGTGAGTTCAGGTACGTATTTACCTATGAGTAGTCTTGAGTGCTGTCCTTCTGGGGAACGTGCAGCCCTGGACCATTGTCTGTGTATTGTCACTTAACTTTCACATTACTTTTTATAGTTTATTATATGCCTGGTGATACACTGAGAGCAATACCACTGTGCCACTTCGTCAATAACATCAGGAAAAAGTATTGTTAATATGTTGATAGTTTCCTCTAAGTGCATTAGGTGCAAACTATCATAAAAATGCAAGTTCAGTTGTACAAATTGAACAAAGCATTTCGTCGTGATATGTTCTTCAGCTACATCGCTCAGCCTTAGTTTATTACAACCTACATGTGAGATGTGTTGACATCTTAAGTGTATCTAGTAAACACTGTCGTAAGCTTGGAGTTCAAGACAAGTTTAAATCCATGTTGTCTGGGAAAAAGTCACATGGTGTCTAAAACCGCAAAGCTGTGTCCTCAGACTCAGTGGGATATCCTATATCCAGTTACTATCCTGTGAAAATCACCTGTCTGCTACCACAGGCCAGTGTGTTGTGAGGTTCATTTAAAAGCTGCTGCACAGGATGCTTCAGTCAAAGTGCAAGTTAGAGTCGAGTAATAGACCCAAATAAGAGTTGATATGATGATTTTGAAACAAAATATGTCTTAATGTAAAATGAATATCTTAGTAAAAATTTGAAGTCATTGTTAGATTTAAGTTTCTTGTGTGTATGTGTGTGTGTGTGTGTCAGGGAAACAAATGGAAATCTTCAATATACAAAAAAATAACTAAAATGCTTTAGGCCTCTGAGCACTTCATCACACTGTCTTTGCAAGAGCACAATTCAATCATACAAATTCAGAAGCAGCCTGTACCAAAACTTTCTTTCAAGTGACAAAGATGTTTTTTGTGCAAAAGCATTTGTTTCAAAGGCTTTTTAGCCCGGCATACAAATACCAACTCGATGAGTATTTTGGAAGTGAAAGTATTTTTCAGTACTTGCATAATCCAACAAAAATAATTTTATAAAACACAAATGGGATTAAATGTAAATTTGAAAATGTTCAGAAAAGCAATAAAATATATATGAAAATTAGTAAGGACCCATATAAATAAGGCTATCTTCTTGCTTTTAATACAGAGTAGTGTAATTACAGTTTTATCTTTTTCCATTCTTATCCATGATCTGAGATCCAAACAGCTGCTCATGGACCATGCTGATAACACAGAGCGTCGTTTGTGTTTGTCACTTTGGATTCCCCGTGAGCAAGCAGTTGGTGACGGTGGGAAGGAACCAAAAAAAAATAAATCCCTCGTTAATGTATTTGTACTTCAAACCTAATAGAGCTTTAAGACAGCAGATCTCATCTCCTAACATTTCTGTGCTGTGTTCAGGTGGCTGTGGCGTCAGAGAATCCGTCTGCACTTAGAGGGCACAGGAATAAATCCCACTCCTGTGGACCTGCACGAACAGCAGCTAAGCCTGGAGCAGCACAGCCAAGCTCACCGCATCACCACCATGGACAGCCAGCGACGTACGACTCCGTCACCCAGCTTGTGTGCTTGTCTCAGTCGGTCTTTCTGTGTCGTCCTGTCTGGTCTTCTTTGTTGCTTTTGCACAAGTTAAAATACGTTAAATTGACTAAATTGGGGGTGATATTTGCCTCTTATTAAATTTTTTACGTTTTTCCCCAAGCTGCTGTCCTTCTCATAATTTAGTGACATTTTTCAGGAACAGGTAACCTGCAGGAGAGTTTTACCAAGCCTAGCCTCCTCCCTATTAGAAGCTTGAATGAAATCTTCATCGGAGAATCCCTGTCTTCCAGGTACTTCAATTATCTAACCTGATACTTGACGTTCATAATACTGCCTGTACACTACTGTTGTCTGTGTGCATGTTGTCACCCTCATTAATCCACAGCCCCTTCACCACTGCCCTGCTCGTTTCTCCAGCACTCATCAGGAAAAATCTCTGTCCACCACAGGGTGAAGTTAAAATCCTTCAATCCCCATGTTAAACTCTTGCTCCATAGGGCTTCCTACTACGAGATCTCAGTGGATGATGGCCCTTGGGAAAAGCAGAAGAGTTCAGGACTCAGCATTTGCACAGGAACGGGATCCAAAGCCTGGTAAGGCAGAAGTATAATCAGCTGGGCTTGACCCGAATATCTGAATATTCAGTCGTTGTGTTGGTATCTGGATAGCGATTTTGATATTCGCCCGCTACTTACTGGTGAAAATGTGTTTTGAACATATTTTAGATGGAGAGTGGAGTAATGAATGAGTTTTTATGGGCAGTCTATGGTTGTTTTGATTGACACACAGTTTGAGATACCACCAGGGGAATTTGTCATTTGTATTCTGAACATTCAAGCATTTGAATTATTGCTGTAAGTCACTGTTAAGTTGGTGTTTATCTTTGTATCCAAAATTCTCAAAGTGATTACATGTAGAGAACTTTTTTTGGTCTGGTCACTACACCAAAGTACTGAGTTCTCTCAAATAATACTTATTTCCCATTTTAAAAAAAGATGTACAGTCGTGACTTGACATTCCCACCCTTAACAATCCGAAAACCTTGCTATCCAACAGGTTTTTAGAAAAAATGAATGGAACCCATAAAAATAACATTAACATACCGACAGCCTTTGATTCCGACTCCAACATGACATTTTATGTCACAAATAAGGATAACAGCATATTATCTGACTTAATCGGACAGATTGGCTACGTTCAGACTGCAGGACTTGATGCTCACTTCAGATTTTTTTTTGTGAAATCCGATTTTTTTTGCGAGTTTGTTCACATTTCCAATTAAATACGGCTTGTATGTGATCTCCTGTGTGAAGTTCATATGACCCAAAAGTGTCCCGCATGCGCAGAAGATGACACGACGACTTCACACGCAGTGAGCGTGCTCAGTGTTTATGGAAGTAAACATGGATGGTAACAGTGGAGCGTATCTTGCGACTTTAAAGTTGTTGTTTTTTTTTTTTTAAGTAGTTGTGAATCGGAGCCAGCACATTTACAACGTAGTCGCCGTGGTTGTGGTGGTATTCTAATGCCCTCATGCTTTTGCACAGAACAGGGGGAAATGGGACAGTCAGAGCTAGAGGGAAAGTAAATCAGGCACATGATCACTGTCTAAATATGCAAACGAGCTAAATGTTAATGATCTTCTTCCAGAAACACAAAGGTCATCTTTAAAAATTCCATTTTTGGCTTTAGTTTAAATACAAACTAACTAAACTAAGTCAAGCATATTAAGCTTGAATGCCACTGGAGTTGAAATCGTTGCCTCTCCTAACACCTCTCAGTGCTTATGAGCCACATTACACAGTAATAAGACATCCCATGTGGTAAATCCTGCCTCAGTCCTTCTCTCATGTCCCTCTTTTGACTTTCTGTTGTGCTGCCCACAGGTCATACAACATCAACAAACTTGCTGAACAAGCTGTGGAAGAGGTTCTTAAAATTGGTGCGTACATGTGCAGGTTTTGATGCAAAGATTGTTGTGGAATAAAGATAATTAAACCAGGTCACCTGACTTCACTGAGCTTTTTTTTTTTTTTTTTTCCAGGAAAGTCCCAGTCTGGTCTTGACATCCCACTTAACCAAGAATTTATTGAGAAGGGTGAGCCGATAAATCTTCTGTCACTATTCTTGACTTGTAAATTTTTAAAACCATTCTTTTTAATGTTGCTGTGGGTCTATGTGTGTTCAGTTACAGAAAAATACAACGAGTCTCTGGTGTTCAGTCCAGACGACAGCCGCTTGTTCTACAGCATCAGGGAGCCCATCGTCAACAGAGTGTTCTCCAGCAGTCGGCAGAGAGGCTTTGCCAGCAAGTAAGTTATGCTCCTCAGTTGAATAACACGTCACTCTTTACATTAAGATGTAACAGGTCTGCCTCTGCTTTTTTAGGGTGTGTGTCCGCTCTCGGTGTTGGGATGCCTGCATGGTGGTGGACGGCGGGACCTCCTTTGAGTTTAATGACGGTGCCATTGCCACTATCAGTATGAGCGAGGAGGACCAGCTCCGGACAGTCGTTCTGGACAACTGAAGCGAATTAACACCTGACTGGTTTCTCTCGGGGGCAAAAGTGTTCAAAAGGATGTGGTCAAAGGGAAGCCCCTGCTTTTAGCCTCCACAAGGGGTAATTTTTATACCTGGCAAAAGGTATTATTGTTGCTTTTGTTATTAACTTTGTGTTTGTTTTTTCCTCAAAATCATTTTTTTCCAATTTTGATTTTTTTCCTTTTGCATTTTCTTGCTATGCCACTATTTGCCACTAGGCTATACCAGGTTAAAATCCATTTTGTAGATGCTGTGTTAGACAAAATGTGCCACCAGAAACCCATCATCGCATCAAGTTCACACTGAGCATTTAAGCGAGGGCAGAGATAACAGATCAGTTATTCAGAGGGCTTGTGGTAACAGAAGGCAGATTGATTGATTGTTGTAAATATGTATCTATTTCACATTTTGGTTGGAGCGGCGACTCATCATCCTGTCAATCAGCTCATACAAGCCTGGGTGATGATGCGTGTCCGTTTATGCACTAGCGGTTGTAGTCGCAAAAGATGTTATCTTTCGACTAGAAGTCTTCCTGAATGGCACTAAAACTTCCTAACTAGGAGTTAGACTTAATAACTCTACCCGACGCTCCTGACCAGCGCCTCTAATTAAAGAACAGAGAGAAATAAGATTTGCTGACAAGTGAACGGTCTGTCCGAGAGTTAAGATTTTATGGTTGTTTATTAAACTGTTGGACGGATTTAAAGAGCATTTTTGGTTTGATGAATAATTGTGTGCCAACTGAAATATTTCTGTTTAATCAGGGTGCAAACTGTATTTTTCCCATGACGTGTAGCAGAGTTTAAACTGTGACCTCCTGTGTTGTTGAGTTATTTCAACTTGTCAGTAAGCTGACTCAGTCCTGACAAAACAAGACTCACTACTTGCAGCACATCACCATGAGCAGGTCTTAGTACAGAAGTCCACTGCTGCCACTAACTTCACTCAGTCAGATTTTGGAGCTACTTTTAGCAGTAAAAGGCCTTTTTTATTGTCATACCAAAATGTAAAGTTTGGACCAACAGGATGATTTTAGAAGTTTCTCCTGTCTCAGCTACGTAGAAGCTACTTGCAGCCTGAGGATGTTTGTGAATATGATCCCAGATTGTGATGTGGTTTCACACCAGTGGTTCCACTGGTTAATGACTCTTGGACAGGATTGAAGTTCTTCTATATTTATTTATTTATTTATTTTTGTTGTCAACCAATCCAAATGACTCTGGCTATGTCTGTCGATCTTAGCCTCAAGTAGAGCTCACAGTTATAGTGAGTTCCTGAAACAGCTGGTCCTTGTTTTATCAAACGTTACTTGAAAAGGAAGAGGAAGTCCATTTACTGGGGACTCTTCATAGCGGTGGATTAATCTGCACTCGGTGCTATAGTGAGTATTTGTGGCAGCAGGATGGTGTATGTGGGACTGAGTCAAAGTACAGTGTGTGTGTTTATGGTGTTGAACATTCACTGGCATATTTTAACAGTTTGTGGACACGCCTTTGATAAACACAGTACTAGTTAGCGAGATACAATTATTGTCGCTTTGGGTCAGCACATGGGATTCGTTAAGACTGAAAATAAAATCTAAACTGTCAGCAGCCTTTGTGCTGAAAGTATAACGTAAATGTATATGGGTGAACAGAAAGCACAGCCGCTGTTACAGCTTGTTGTTTGAGTATAGATATTTTTGGAACAAAGCTTATATTTTTTCTAGCTGCTTGAGCCATGCAATAATTACAATTTTCGGGGTGCAAAAAATATGGTTGGACTGAAAATAATTAAGTGCACTAAAGCAAGAACTCCATGTTTGAAAGAGCATTTTGCTCCATGTTTTTAGGTCAAAGGTGTGTCTTGTCTTGTCACAAGACAGGAAAGTGAGCTGTGGAGGTGCTGCTGAAATAGCAGCATGTGCCTGAGGCAGACATGCCAAACTGCAGAGTTTAAACTGTCTCTGATCGAACCAGAATTTTTTCGCCTGTAACAACACCAAAAATTTGAACAATGCTGTTCGCAGATTCTGAAATGAAAGAGAGGACACAGATTGATGAGCAGGGGAGGGGGATGCGATGATTTGAGCAGATCTCTTGTACACTATTATAATTCCACTTCATCTCCCCCTGGCCTAGATGTGGAGCCAGAGGTGTCCTTTTGGGGGACTTTATATTACAAACTGATTAGGACATTGTATTGTATGCAGCGTGCCAAAGGCAATCATGGAAACACTGTCACTGTGTTAGGATGTTTTGTTTGGAACTGGATAAAGTTGGTATGAAACAAATGCATCTATGTACTTCTTTAACCTGATAATACTGCATCTTCAATTGATTTATCACTCAATGGGCTGTTCAATGTATTATGAGTTGCCAAATGGTTGTAAAACAGTTGAAAGGGAAGTTCTTTGATTTTCCAGATTATTGACGAGCTTAACTTTAAACAGATATACAATCAGTGTTTTCATGAAATGATCTTCACCTCTATAGTATTGTGATGTAGACAAAATAAAGTGGTTCAAATGAATTCCACCTCGCCCAGCAGCAGCCAATGCTGTTTACATATTGGTGCATTAAGGATCTTAAACGTATCACTACAGAACCAGCATGTAGAGTTTGCTGACCATACTGTGCTGAAATGGAGGATTGTTACCGAGTTGCACTGGTTCTGAAATATACATATGCGCACTGTAATAAACAAAAACTTCTAGAAAAAAAACACCTTACAGACCACAATAGCAAGTCTAACACAGGACTTGTTGAGCATCTGGTTGCTAAATTGATCCTTCCGTCCACAGCAGTTTGATCACGAATGGCCTCTGTGGAACGTTAGCGTCCAAGAAACCACGTTTTAAGAAAGAACAGAGCTAAAAGGCAGAAGTATGCAAAAGCTCAACGACACGAGTAAAGACAGTTGAAAATCAGCCCTGTGGGGCAACAGTCAAAGTTTAAAATGTTTATTGCAGACAGTGTGTGAGAGGAAGAGATGGAGAGAGGTACAAGAAAAACTACTAGGGCCTTGGGGAAAACTTGGTGGAAGGTCTGTTATGGTGTGGGAGCTGCATTTCTCAGTGAGATACTGGAAGTGATGGAATCATGAATGTAAAAAAGTACAAAGTTTGATACGATATCGTGTCTTTTATTCTGGAAAATGTCTTAAAGTCTGACATTTATTGAAGAAAAAATGCCATCCTGCCCCACCTTGCTCTATGTGAAAAAGTCATTGCCGTTTTTGTTTGTCACGACAATGACCTAAAGCACACAAGCAAGTCCACCTCTGAACGGCTCAAAAAGAACAAAATTAAGGTTTTGGAGTTGCTGAGTCAAGTTCTGGACAGGTCTGGCAAGACCTTAAAAGGGCAGATAATGCTTGAAAACCAACTAATGTGGCTGAATTTAAACTATTCTGCAGAGACGAGCGGGACAAAATTCCTCCATGACCATGTAAAAAACTGATCACAAGCTATTGCAAACATTTACCTGCAGTTGTTACTGCCAAGGGTGGCCCAACCAGTTAGGCTGCATTTTCACAGGAATGATATAGGTTTTCAATAAACAGGAATTTAGTTGATCTATACAAGTCAGTTGTATGTTAACACATATGTACAAGGACATAGTTTTATACCACAACATAGCCTCAGTCTGTCTATCTTTATCTCTCTGAGGATCAGGAGAAGAAAACCTGTTACATGGACCTTGATGTAAAGCTGTTTCATCAAAAACATATTTTCAGGGTCAAAAATGAAGACAAACTCAATTTGTTTTCATGGGTCAATACAAAAAACTTTTTTTTTTGCAGTTTAATGTTTAGGCCAAAGGGAAAATGAACAGTTAAAACTTCAGTAAAGTTCGGTGGGTTTGACATTAAACTAAAGTGGTAAAAACAAGACTTGGGCACTAACCTAATGTCCAGCTGGACACAAGTGAAATGTACACTAATGATAACTCAGTCCAGGTATTACACTGGTGAATGCATGTCTAAGCCTGCATATAAAAACAGTGTCTCTTTAGCACCATGTGGCGTAACAAGAAGATCCACAGATATTCAAGACCTACACATCATTTTACATTAAAACCTGTTTGCTGATTAAAATCGTCTGTTCTCTCATTATTACAGCTGAGAACAGGACTTTTTTACCATCACACCATTAAAATGTCAATACTTCATCCCACATTGTTTCATTTGAGCTTTTTTAACAATGTAGACCCCCTACAAAATATTTTAAATTAACACATTATTAGAACCTGTAACAAATTCAGAGATCCATTCAACATTTCTGTTAACACATCCAGAGCTGGATTCAACATGCAGAACTGACTAGTATTGCATTTCTCTACCATCTTGCATTTTTGGTACTTAAAGGTCTTGTCCACCAAGTGGCCTTTAGTACCGTAAATGCCACCTCAGCTTAAAAACATGAGGGAGGCGTAGTGGTGCGGGTGGTTACAGTCTGAACCTCAGTCGGCACTGTCTGTTCCACATGGTGTGGTCGCTAGAAGAGCCAACCGCCCTGCTGGCAGGCATGGGCCGGGCAACGCCGGAGAACGGCCGGGTGTTGATGCTGACGTGGGGCATCTCCTTCTTCAGAGATGGCAGGTGGCTGTCCTGCACAAGGCCGAACACGTCCAGCAGGCTCAGTGCAGGGAACAACTTACCCAGGTCGCTGGAAACATGACATCAGTTAGATTTAGACTTTGTAAACTCGTACAGTTAGAGGGATCCATCTGAAATCCTACATGTGCTGTATTGGGAAGTACCCAGGTGAATCTTAACTTACGTGAGAGCAGCAAGGTGAATGTGGTAGCAGCGACTCAGGGACAGATGCAGCAGACGCTTAAGTTGTTTGAGGACAGGGAAGACGTCAGCCATCAGCAGAGTGCTGTCACTGTAACATGAGGAGCCAGAATTAGGACAGGAGGAGCAATGTACATTTTCAAAGCTCAAGCCAGTAATTTTTGTGGCAGAAACAATAAGAAAATGTGAGACATGGTTTCTTTCTCCTCCAACAATAAGCTTGTCTCATTTCACTATTTTGAGGCTCCTCAGTGCTCCTGCCTGTGACCCAGAAATCAGTCTTCGTGCACCATGTTGAAGTATGTCTGAACTCCCAAAATGAGTCTCAAGGAGAAAGGGAGGTTGTTGGCACAGCTTAGAGCAAGGATGCAGTTCATGGTTTCACTTTCTTTTGTTCAAGTCTTTTTGGCACGAGTGACATATACAGCTGTCCTCTTTTTCTCACCTCCTTCACTCACATTTCTGGTGGGAGGAACTAAGACAAGAAGAGAAGAGCTGATGGAAGGAATTGAGGATGTGCACACTGACTCGAGAAGAGGGGTTTTACCCAGAGTAGCCACATTTTTATACAGTTAATGTGTCCCAGTTAAAGCTTACCAAAAGACTCATACAATCATGATGATGTTTTACCACTGAACTGATGTTCACACTGGAATAACCATGTCCTTGAACTTGCATTGACAGAAATCATATTAAAACCTCAAACACATTTTGAAAGCAACTGTGACTTTATTTACATAATCATTCATCAAAACTACCACCTTCCCCCTTAACTAAAGTGACTGTGTTGCCTGAATGTAACCACAGGCAGGACCAGGCAGGTAATTGTTGATCAGGAATTTTCTCATCCCACACATTTGTGTTAGCTTCCAATCCAAAAAGGTCGTCACACATTCCATGTACTCTGTTTTCACCAAGAATTGCTCTTGCTTACATGATGATGTAATATACTCAAGATGAAAACACAGCATGGGGAATAAAATCTTACCTCAAATCTAGAGTTTCAATCTGACGGCATCTTTCCACCAACACCTTCACATCTGCAAAATGAAACATAATTCTGTCATCTCCGATATGTCTACCTGTAACAAGGTAAACAGAGGAAGTTTATACTGAATCCCACAGATCTAAAAGTCCCAAAGATTGTTAGACAACTAAAATGAAAACAAAATAAACAAAAAAAATCACACTGAAAGAATCCAGCAGCAGTAGATTGGTTTGGATTGTGTTTAATATGACGAGACTTCTTTTGGCTGCAGAACAACAGCAGACTGAGAAAAATATGGCAACGGTGTTCTGATACCTCCAGTATGCAACAGCCCAGACCAGAGGCCACATTTATAAAACCATGAGCAGCATCAATCTCAAAATGGACGTGTGCAAAGACGAAACTGACGTGCACACACAAACAAAAAAAAAATCTAATTTACAGATTTACAAGACTGCGCACAAGCATGAGTGGAATATGTAGACATGACCTATTGCACATGCTCCCAATGGAATCCAGCACACTGCAACAGTAGTATAATAACTACAGCTACTTATCCACGGTGTATGCGGCTGTCTGTAGCTGCCGATTTAATCACGGCTTGGCACTACTTTTCTAGTCTGCTCCACTCTACATGCGCAGCAGGATGCATCTACACATTCAGAGCATGCACACTATTGTTCTTGTAGCTCGGTTGCCCCACAGACACAAATTCTGGGTGCTTGCTGACTTTAGGAGATGATGAGACTCACATCATGTGGACCCTCATGTACTCAAAAGTATAAAGCCTTATGGGCCTATCACAGCCCTGTGTAGAAGCAAACACTGACAGCTGCAGACATCAGGAGTGAGTAGTTGTTGCCATGATATTACTGCTGGTCTGCTCTGTTCCATACATGCACAACAGCTCATATCTACATATGTGACACTTGCACACCACTGCACTTGTAGTGTTGTAACTGCAGAGACACAAATTTTGGACTGCATGCATTCATTGTTTATTGCAGCGAGACGATTTGAAATCTCACCTCAACACACCAAAAGTCATGTGACCATTCTAAACAAAGCTGAAGCACATCAAGTCACTGCCCCTGTATTTTTTTTAAAAAACATTTTGCTGTAAAAGTACAAGCTATACTGAACAAAATGATAATTAAAGAACTGACATTACTTAAATCCATACAGCTGCACTGCTGAGGATCTGGACAGCAGGTGTCACTAGCTGACTGTCAAAGGCTTCAAAAAGGGGCTCATCATTATGAAAACTTGTTGTAGCCAGTACTGATACTATAACCAACTGTGTTCAACTCCCAAATGTACATTTGTGAAAAGAAAAATAAATCTACATATTGAGATTTAAATATTCTGTGTATTTATGTATTTAAGCACATTTTCTGGTATGTAGACCAGCTATAAATCTGATTTCTCTTCAGACAATCGCGTACAGCCTCCAAACATCATGATATTACTTTACATATTTGTGGACTAATTAAACGTTACGCAAAGCTATTGAGCTCCACTGATTAGAAAAAGTGCGAGCCTTTTACATGAAACTGGACGACAGCCTTGTGTCATCAGTCACCTGATCCTCTGACCTGCATTATAGTAATAAATCTCAGTAAGATATTTATTGTCGATAAAGACAATGCTTTGGTGCGACAGAGGTTCAGTGGGTGTACAGACTGTTGAGGGACATTGAGCACAAAGGGTTGTGGCATAAACAGAAATGAGATTATTTGGCTCAACTATTCCAACATCCCTCACTTACCATCTAGCGTGAGGCTCTCTCTGTAGCCGCTGAGGTTGAGGTGGGTAACGCTGGGACTCAGATGACTAACAACACTCTTCACATGATCGTTGTTAAAGCTGCACCATGATATGTTCAGCTGCTCTATACTGAAAGGCAACAAAAACACAGCATGATTAAACTGCACGGATGAAAGATGAATAAAATGCTTATAACAGAATGCTTATAAACTGGACAGCGGTGGTCTGGACAGATGAAATGAACTGAACAGCTGACCTGGAGCAGGATTTCAGCAGGTCAGCTACAACTGGAGCAGAGAAGCCAGAGCAGCCACTCAGGTTGAGCTGCAGCATGTTGGGATTCTTGGCCAGAGAGCTGAAAGAGCAAGAGACCAAAAAAATAAGTTACAGAGAAGGCTGCGGTTGAACAGCTGCACACACACGTACAACAGCAAACATGCCAACCAAGAGCTGAGAGTTTACCTGATAATGTTGTCTGACAGCTGCAGACCCTCTAGGCTCAGGAACTCCAGTAGTCTGCAATGACAGATAATGCTCTCCAGAGCAGCAGTGGGGATGATGGAGCTGGACAGATCCATCTGAACTAGTTGCAGGGGGCTGGACAATAGAAAAGACAAAAACAGACCCTCTTTTTTTTTGTTGTTTTTTTTAGAGCTTTGGCGTTGTTCATAGTTGTTGTTTTACTTTATACACATCAACGTAGTTTTATTGCCCAAAGGAATGAGTTCAGGTTTGGGTACATAAAATACTAGTTAGTGGGATACATTAATTGGTTTGGTCTCTTCTTCGGATTTTCTAGCAATAACAAAATTACAGAATCCTTTAGGCAAGATTTTATTTTACATAACAAAAATTAAGGCCTGAGTTTCACACTGCTGATTAAAAACTGGACTCAACATCACGATCTGCTGGACTTACTCTGTGCCTGTGAAGTGAAACTCCTCCACAAAGGCGCGAGGGCAGCGCAGTCTGCGGATTCTGGTCTTCAGCACCTGTTGCAGCGCTGGACCCATGTGGGTCAACCCCTCCAGATCCACGCTGTGCCACAGAGACTCATCAAACCTGGGATAGACACACAGGCAGACAGGGTGGGGTCATGCAAACACCACAGTGAGTCCACAGTGAATAACCTGCATGACCAGTCCAGCCTTTGGTCCTGTTCTTTTGTTAAAAATCAGTGTTTAGCATTTATTACCATTAAGAATATACAGTGAAATCATCAGCAATGGGAAGTTATTTACACTTCCAGCAGTTTGTTAGTATCTGCATTAGTAAGAACTGTCAGCCACTGAATATATCACCGTATATGTTCTTTTCACACTACTATACATGAGTTGTCATGCATATATGGAACAAAGCTAATTAAAACCCTATTTCTGTGTGCAAATGCCAAGAAAACCTCTTCTGAAGCTCATGTAAACAAACAGTTTCTCACATTATGTGCAAACAACCTATGGAAAAGGGGCGCAAATATGAGAATACGTGCCATATATGAACTAGGAGCTGGCCTTAGATCAGAATTCCTGGGAGCTCTGCATGTACTGCAGGATTCAAGTATCATACCGTGCATGTGTGTGTGTGTACATATAGAAAAAATATATAGAAAAAACATGCTGGTAAAACACAGCTGCCAGCTGGTTTAGGAGTATTTTGACGTCTACCAAATAAATGATTATGGACCTAACCTAAAGCGGGCTGCACACTACCCTAAAATAAGTTGGTTTTTGCACTAGTCTTTAATTTCATGGACGATAAAGAATTAAAGTGGCAGAGTAAAGTTGCATGCAAATATCACGAAAATGTGAAGCAGCATATCAGGACCAAGTGGGGAAGGAAAAATAATCCCTCCTGTGTCATTCTGTGAACACATCACTGCCACTGTACACTCACACCAAACGATGCCAGCGCTTGCAAACTACAGATTTTCTGAGGAGGTCCTGCAGAGGGAGGCAGAACAGGATCCTGAGTAGCAGCTCATCTGGTAGGTGGTCCCATGAAATCCCTGCAGAGGAAGTTATGTGTTATAGTTTATCATCACTGAAACAAACCGACTGCACTGTTGTAAGGAGGTCAGAGAGGTTTCATACCTGCAGTGGGTTCCTTCCTCCTCCTCGATCTCCTGGCCAGGACAAAATGGTTGTCGTCATTCTCTTTCCCCTTGGCAGCAAGCCGCTGGTGCTTATGTGGTGGTGACCACTGCTGGATGAGCTCTGTTGGAGTGCACTCAGTGTCCAGGCCCTCACTGAGAAAACCTCTGGACTTGCGTTTGTTGATTCTGTTGGAGTGAAACAACATGGAGCCCTGAGGACTCAGGCTGGGCAGGTCCTGCAGGGGCATGCTGGGTGGAAGGAGAAGTTAATCAGATTGTAATATGTGAAATAATTGCACGATTAAACAGGTTTTGTCATGTTCTTTTATGTGAACACTTCAGAGAAAGACTCCTGAGTGATGTAGCCTCCTCTACACAATCTCCTCCGTCTGCCCGCCATATTGATGCAGCTACCAGCGCCGTGGCCGCGCAAATTCTAACTGCAAAAGAAAAACTAAATACTCTGTCACTTCTGTTTCAGGAGATAAATGGTGCAGAGTTATACCAGCGTTATATTCACATATGTTGTAGCTCGATTTTATAGCAGTAAGGAAGCGCCATCAGACATGAACGGAGGCCTAGCTGAGAGGAAAGCGCGGTATCGGTTATTATTCGTTGCGGTTTTATACTGAAGCTGTTTAGAATGGCGCTTCACAAAAAACACAGGTCAACAGTAAATTAACAGGTTCACGTTTATATAAAAACTAGATATTAAAATGGAACGCAACAAGAGAAAGCTATCCAGACTAATTGAGGCGACAAAAGTTAGGTTGGTGTTGGCTCATTCTCACATGGACGACACGTTAAAAGTTTAGCTGGGGTGCCGCTGGCAGATTTTAACATTAACAGAGTGTAGAAACATTCCCCGCCATACCTGTCGTTGGGCATCTCCTCTGTATTCAGACTAACCAGTGGAATACTGCACATGTAGCAAAGCCCTGATCCACCGCTGCTCTCCCACCGGGACTCTTTAAACCCACCGCCAGCAGCAGCAGGGCGCCCTGTTGTCGCTGCGTCACTGATGTGTCATCACGCAGAACGTGTTACGTCAGACGTTTCAACGTGGGGCACATGTAGCATTCCAGACCCACTCGTTTTTTTTTCGGTTTGTGTATTAAAGTGTGCAGGGAGAAAGTATTCTAGGTTGGATTAGGTCGACACTGAAACAGCACATCAAATATTTTCTCAAAGAAACTATAATATGCTGCATTTATATGAGTACACGTCTGTGCAACATCACTTTCATGTACAATGATTCAAAATTGTATCAGCCCTCACTGTTACGGCCCCAGAGCCTCTGTCTTCTCACTCTTACCTTGCAGGTTTCTGGCTGGGCGGAGCCTCCAATCTGCTAACCTGGTGCACCTGGCCAATCTCACTGACTATATAAGCCGGCCTGCTGTGCCAGATCGCTCTCTTCTCTCCCTTACCCAGCCAGCCATGCTTCTGTGTTTGTCTCTTTTTTGTTTGTTTCATGCTGACAACATGCACCACACATCGAACACTGCACTCATACACCCTCGCACACCACTGACGCTCACAATCACACCCCACGATTCTACTTTGTTTCAATAAATAGCCTTATGTTACAGCTGAATCCACCTGTGTGTTTCCTCCTTTGTTGCGGCCTAAGAGCCAGTCGTAACCACATTATTTTATAACTTGAACAGAATTGTATTTCCTCTTGTAAATGATCATGAATAAATTCTTCAGAGAGACTATATGAAAAAATAGGACTCCGACAAGTTACAAAATCTGTGATCATTCCAAGTGCTCTTCTGTGATTTCCACTTAGCCTATCTGTATGAACATGGTCATAAAATGAGCTGTGAACAGCAGAACTTTCTCAGTTTTAGACCACATGGACCTATATGTGTCTATCTGCATGCCTGAATCATGGCTCCACATTGAAGAGTTGCCCAAGGAGCTGAAAAATCTGATAGTGACAAAGATGGAAGAGGCTAAAGGAATATCAGTAGCCTACAAAAAATCTGTTAAAACACAGCTGCAGTGGTATTCAGGAGGCATAGAAGGAGCCATAGCACCACTAATCAGAGCCCCAGTGGTCGTCCTTGTAAAACGACAGCACAGACAGTGAGCTGTTTGCACAATCTAGCTCTGAAACACAGACAGGCAAGTGCTTCAGACTTAGCACCTATCTGGCAATGGAAATCAGAGTTTTTGGGCAGCTCAGACAGTGCAAAGGACATGTCAGTGTGTTAACGCCTACCTCTATGGACAGCATCCACGAAAAAAAACAACAACTAGACGTTGCTTACAGAACAATGAAAGAAGACTGTTAAATATTGGAAGCACATTCTTTGGTTGGATCAAAACAAGATAAATTTGTGCTTTTCAGATGGGAGCATGTTTGGCATGAACATGGCCAGGGCTATTTGGACTATCAGGACTTTCGTTGCATTATATTCCTAATGTAGGGGTTGCATTTTTAATATAGTAAATCTAACCTCTTAGTTGTTTTTTTTTTTTTTATTAAAAAGAGCAAATTCCCTACTGTTTAATGTTTACTGTTGGAGTTGAGATTTTAAAAGTGTTGGGTGTAAATCCTGTGTTTTTCTGCCTTTTCTTCCTTCTGTGACGCATTCCAACCACTACCACTGCCATCTGATATATCAAATTGTGCAGATATCATTTCCATTTTCCTGGTTTGTGTTTGTGTTTATGATTTAAAAACATCATTTAAACAAATCAGGGATGGTCGATCAGAAGGTCCCTGATGGTTTGAAATGAAATGAATCAGTAGTGAAGCACGTTTTAGGGTTACACACATATTACAGAGTGGAGTTATATCCAGTAATGACTATTTTTCTGGAAGAACTTTATTAGAATCATTTCTCTACTGCAGGGCTGCAGGGTGGCTCAATGGTTAACACTGTTGCCTCGTAGCTAGAAGATCTCCAGTTTGCGTCCCAGTTAGGACGCCCAGGCTCTTTCTGCATGGAGTTTGCATGTTCTCCCTGTGCAGCGTTGGTTCCTTCCAGGTTCTCTGGCTTCCTTTCACACAGTCCAAAAACATGTTGAGGTTAATTGGTGATTCTAAATTGTCCGTAGGTGTAAATGTGAGTGTGCTTCTCCATGTGTAGCCCTGTGATAGACTGGTGACCTGTCCAGGGTGTCCCCTGCCTTCGCCCTGAGTCGGCTGGGATAGACTCCAGTCCCCCTGCGACCTTAGTGAAGATTAAGCGGTGTATAGATAATGGATGGATGGACTTCTCTACGGTCATTGTTCCCACTCGTCAATCACATACAACCATGTAGATCTGATGAATTGATTAACCAGAATATGTTCACACTGTAGCAATTTAAATATTGTTGAAATGCAGCAATTAATATTAAAGTTTTCCTTATATTTACTATTAAGATAAATGAGAATGGCTGCTGACTCAAACAAAGTGACAATCCTCATTTTGGTAAATTAAAGTGCTTTGTTTATTTCCACAAATAGATTTGAGAAGCGGGTGCAGGTTTCTCAAGTAATATGTGACTGGTTTCATTAATAGATTGGTTTGAGAGGGCTTTTTTTTGTCATTTAGGGGGCTTTAGTTTTTGTCTAGCTGACTTACACAAAGAAAGCCTGGCTATGTCAAACTTGCTCTATAGTACACCCCTCTGGTTAGCTCTGCAGCATCAGTTACCATGGTGATCTAACAGGCTAAAAGAGAGCCACCTTCATGACACTGAAAACTCTGACTTTAGGCTCAACATACCTGCTAACCCACTTATCTCACTTTGTATTACAGCCCATCGTCCCTTTAACCTCAGCCAGAACGTCCACAAAACACAGTTCAAATCAGCATTTTATTATTTGCAGAAATTGAGAAAATTTGATTTTAAAAAATTTATTTATTTAATTTTAAACAAAGAACTGATTTATTGCCATGACAAACCATTGGATATAAAGGCAAACAGAGTAGTATATGTCAAAAGGACAGCAAAATAGAACTTAAGATGTTGTCAAGGCATGTTGACAATGATGAAAATCACAACACAAAATCCATGCTACACTGGACTGCTGTTTTTGCAGGCACACCACAGTGTATTTTACAGGTCAGTACAATCATCAGTGTCCTGCACTGATTAGAAACAGCAACACCTTTAATATAAGTGAACATACGTAATATCCATAAAAATATACATGAACTCTAACCATAGTGAAGCTCTGTCTCCTCTCTCTGATTAGGTTTGACTGATTTATAGCAGACCACAGTCAGCCATAATGCTGGTTTATATTTTCTGAGAATGATACAGTCTCAGTGTTTTTCTAAAGAAAGTAAAATACAATCAGAGAACTGAGTCAAAACTCTTTAACAGATATTGAGGACTACTAAATGCCTCTATAAAAATGCTCCGAAGGAGTACAGTGAATAATAATGAAAAGAACAGATATTTTTGAATGTGAACAACATATGAGGTACTGGTTTACCTTGCCTACAGAACCTTAAATAGCACCTTAAATAAGATAGAAAACTGAAACACATGGCTTGATGTAGCACATGGCTTCATTAATTTTGGACATGCTGCAGTGAATATCATTCTCCTGTCGCATCTGACACAAACTAGTCATTTGCAGCACAAAAAAGCAAAAGCAACTCCGCCTTTCACCACATCAGGTCAGCATCAGGACAGCAGCTTATCTGTCTTCATGCTAACTACTAGACTGGAAACACTTTTGTTAATAATTCCATTATTACAGTGCCGCTCTGCATCAGCAAAAATTGGTCATTTCCTGACTGGTCCTGATTTCTTGGTATAAAATGGATTGCAGAGACATTTCTGCAAAGCCACATGATTTGTGGTTGAGGTCAAAGGAAACTGCAGAAGCAGTCAAAGCACAAATGCAATTATTAATAACAAATAATTCTAAACTCATGGAAATACCAATAAAGGTCAAGATTGTAAAAGATGTTAGGCTGAGTAGACGGAGTGTATGCATTCCAAACTGCAGTGATGCTCTTCTCTGTGTAATGTCAATCCCTTTGCAACTTTGCCAGTCTCACAGGGCCAGTCATATGTGCATACAGCATTTACATCACACAATTTTATATTAACTCACACTACAAGTTTTAATCAACCTTCCTGCAGCCAGTGCCTGTAACTTGTCTGCACAAAACAGATGTAAGCACCAAGCTGGTATTTGCTTTGTTTGCTGACAGTTCAATAAAGTTTATTCAAACAAGATGGCTGTGCCCTCATCTTTTTCTACTTTTATAATCCTGCTTTCACTGACGGGCTCTTGTGATGACAATGTTTTTCTGCAACACAAATGCTTGGACACGGACAACTTGGCAATGGATTGTAGGACCAAAGCTTGGATGTAAAGCTTGTGAATTTCATCACCATCCACAATTTCATCCAGCTGTTTCCAGATGTGTTCTCAAACTTAAACACTTGTACCCCTGCAAAAGTAAATCAATACTGACTGACTTTTTCGAACTTACACTCACAGTAAAGTTTAGAAACCAAACGTACACATGTATGTATTGTTAAAAGTTTAAAAGCAAGTCAAATTTCAAATGTTTAAAAATGTAACTGTGACTTTGGCAAGACTTTCTTGTTATATCCACCTGGTAGTTCTTAAAAAAACACATCAAACTTATGTATATTTCCAAAATATTTGTATGGGAGATTAAACTGAAAAATAATTCCACCGCTCTGCTTAAGATTAGTCAATCTATATGAATGAACTTATTGAGACAGAGAGGCAGAGCAGCCAAAGAAATCCATGCCAATGCTGCGGGGGTAGCCTTCCAGCACCTTCAGCGTCGTAGGGTCAAACTTCCAGTAGTGAGGCCCACTCAGGAAATTGGCAAATCCTGTCAGAGGATGAGAAAAGGCAACAATCAACTCTGGATGTGAGAGTTAAGCCAATCTTCCCCTTACTGGGCATGAGATCACTGGTTGAGAAACCCTAAAATGAATTTCAAAATTGCCTGATCCCAGCTCTCACCATAGCTGTCCCAAAAGGCTCCATCGATATGACTGGGCACTCCTCCCCACTCATGGATGCTGCGAGGATGGAAGTCATCGACTCGATTCTCATGAATATTGAAGGGCCAGTATGAAGAAGATTTGAACAGGTAGACTTTCTCAACGTGGTCTTTTTCCCACTTCAAAGCTGCTTGGATATCTGTTACAGGAAGACCCAGCCGCTGCACTGAATCTGGTCCTGTTATCTTCCTCTCAGCATCAAACACCCAGTAGCTGTCACCTGCAACAGCACAAAGATGGAACTTGAAAATTTAGATCTCATTTACTGAACAAGGACTATTTCTTCTGTGTTCTATGTGTTTATTCTAAGTGGTTTTTTTGCTTTCACTAGCTGACATTTCAGCAGATCGCTTTAGTTTATAGACTTGAACTTAACCTTCTTTCAGGACCTCATCTTAAAACAGACATGACAGGTTCTTTAACTTCAACAGCACTTTCATTTCAAAAGGCTTTAGTGCCTGCTCTTAAACTGACATTTCACCATGCACTTTCATTTTAATTAACCATTCAGCTTCTTTCAATAGGCATGCTGACTTTGACTGGAGCGCTGTACTTGTACTTTGTTTCTGTACCTCGAAAGAACCAGATGTTGCCGGACTTGTCTTCATATGCAGCATCGATGTGGTCAGGAATTCCTCTCCAGTGGCGTGAAGACAGAGCTGGATATCCAGGCTGTAGCTGACCGTCGCGGATACGCCAAACGTATCGAGACTTAAAGAAGAAGAGTTCTCCCCTGATCATGGACACGGCATCAAAGTTTGTTCTGCAGGCATCGGGCTGGGACACAACACCATACACAACAGGGACATTTTTATCTCTGGCTTAAAACACAAGTTGCAAAATATAAGCATGGCAAAATCTTGTAATCCAGAACATGTGGCTTTGACTGGCCAGAGATGTTGTCTTACCAATGCAGTGTCAATCTCATTGGTCTCTGTCATGTCAGGCGGTGTGTACTGAGGGGGTCCATACAGATATTGGATTCCCCGCTTGTCATCCTCGCTTAGCTGCGGAGGGTAGGAGTCGCTGTAAAACGGACACATGATGGCGTCAGGCTCCAGGGAGTGCTGCAGGCCGAGGACATGGCCAAACTCATGAGCTGCCACTTGTAGGAGATCTGTGCCTAAACAAGCAAAGTGACACTAAAATTATTCGCTGTATGAATTACTCTGTGAGGAAGCCCAATGAAGACCTCCATTGACCTCAAACTTCTTCAAAATACTGACCCACATCGTTGCCCACAGTCCAGTGCTCATCATAGTCAAAGTGGACTTCTCCCTGTCTGTGAGTGCGGGGGAAGAAGGCATGAGCGAGGATTCCTCCAGGTCCATCGAATGGTAAGCTGTCGTCATGCCAGTACCTGCACAAGCACTTGTTTTATTAGACACAAGCAAATCTAACACCATACATCACATTTGCACACAGCATGTTGTAAATCCAGTTGTAGGATAATTCTGTTAAATACTCTGTACTCGTTATATGTACAGATGCTTTCTGAATGCTAAATAGCTAACCTACACAGTCCTCTGATAGCCGTCAAAATGTATGTGAACAAGAAAAGACCTGCTGTCACAGAGAGAATAAATGCGTGAAGTGAGGCATTGCATTCATTACAATTCCATAAAAAATTTTGTTTCCCGAATACCCCCTGAATTAACCCTCTGTGGATGTTTGTCTGCAGTCAAAGTTCCAGCAGCAGCTACTTCAGGTACATCTCTTTTATTAAGAATTACAAAGACGTGGATGACCAAGAATCTCTTAATACAACCTCCTAATAACAAGCATTTATATTAACTTCAAGGACAACAAAATGCAGCGGTTGTGGCAGGGCATCCAGTCCATAACCAAGTTCAACACCAGCAACTTCTAAATGTGCTGCCTCACTGGCAAAGGAACTAAACTGCGTCTGCTATAAGGTGAAAACAGCAGGGACAGACACCACACCTTCAGCCTCAGACAGCCACAGCCTCACTGTGCAGGAGCATTGGATGAGGCATGTGATTAGAGCAGTAGATCAGAGGAAAGCTGCTGACCCTGATGGTGTGACAGTAAGGCTACTAAAAGAACGTCCAGATCAGCTTTCTATGATCTTCACTAAAATCTTCAACCTGTCCCTGTCCACAGGCATCGTCCCACCCTACCTGAAGTCTCTAACAATTATCCCACCGCTAAAAAAGCCTGTCATTAGTGGACTGAACCGGGCGGCTGTTTGGTAGCCTCACACCAGTCATTATAAAGTGCTTTGAGAGGCTGGTCCAACAGCACATCAAAGCCAGCCTCCCACCTACCTTTCGACCCAGTTTGCCTACAGTGTCAATGGATCAACAGAGGATTCTATCGCCACTGCTCTTAGCACTCACTGACCCACCTTGAACACCAGGGAAGCTCTGTGAGGATGCATTTCTACACTTTAGTTCTGCCTTCAACACTGTGATCCCCAGCAGGCAGGTAGCTAAATTCAGTGAATTGGGACTTTCACAGTCCACCTGTCAATGGATTCCACATTCGAAGAAACCGAGCCATCCCTGATCCACTAACCACCACCTGGAACTGTGTGGAAAGGGTCTCGGCCTTCAGGTTCCTAACTACAACCAACACCACGGCAGCTGTAAAGAAAGCACAGCAGCGACTCCACTTCCTGAGAATCCTTATAAAAAATAAAAAATAAAAAACCTACAGGAAAAGCTGCAAAAGATCTGTGACAGACCCTCACAGACTTAGGTGGATGACAAAACCTATGTCACGTGTACTCTTGCAAAAACCGACATGGAAAACATAAATTAGCCTTTAAGGGATAGCTTTGCGAAATAAGATTGCCTAAGCATCCACCAGCCAGAGTTTGTTTGAGGACAGACAGCATTAGCTGATCTAGGGGGCTCTTTTCTGGACTCCTTGGTTTCGAGGGCTTTGGATAGGGACTGATGAGGTTCAGACCAAACAGTGGCAGCTTTGTGTGGCTGGGCTTGAAGCCCTGCTACTGAACAGTGGACCAAGGCTTGAACTGCTACCACTACCCCATAAGGAGGCAGCCTTGTGCCTGTGATCTTAGGCCATCCTTTATTGCACTGAGCTACAAATCAGGACTTTTGTAATACAAGGTGAAAGTGCTTAAATCTCTCAGCCACAGAAATGTCACCTTTGCTCACTTTGGTGGCTGTGATAACTGTAATCTACCAGCTCTTTATTAAAACTTACATTTTAACAAACACATCTATTATGTTGAAATTTTGGAGGGAGTGTCTGACAGTTTTTTCTACGTAAACAAGACCTCCCGGTTCTGCCTCTTTTTTTTTGTAACTAAATATAAAAAATTGCAACAGATCATAGCAGTTCTAAAAGTGAGTTAAGGTAACTTTTGTACAGGTCAAAACTCGAAGCAAAAATGGCTTGGCAGAGGACCTGAAATGTGGGAGGACACTGAGAAGCAAGAGAGCTGTTATGACATGGAAGTATCGTAAACCAGATGCCAAAATGACTAATCCTGGTTGATAAAAATGTAGCTGGAGGCACACTATTAAAAATCCTGCCAAACAAGTCCTGTATTGCATTCATTCATGTTTGTAATCTGCTCTTGGCCTTGACCAGGATACATATGGTTTAGTTTTCCTGGGTCACACTGACAAAAGGATCCAAAAGATTCACGTCTGGGTTTGTATACAGTTTTTTACAGTTGGTTGCATGCATTTCTCAATACTGAGATCACTATTTCTAAACTCTGCACACAATCAGCACAACAGCAATCAGTGTGAATTAAACTGTTGAGAACGCTGCATGCTACATTGCTTGTGAAAAACATGCTTTCAAAACGTAGAATTGTTTCCTTCCTCAAACTCAACACAAACTGCTTCTGCACAAGTTTATCTACTTTTTAAAAACTGAACAAAAGCAGAACATAACACAAAAACATTGTATTTACACATAAATACTATAAACTGTATGTATGAATTCTGCGACATCTAAAAGAAATGAACAGATCAACAGCAGCTGATTCCCAACTAAAAGAAAGGACATTTAAGGATTCTTGGAGTCATGCTTTGTTTTGATTTTTAAGCAAAAAGACTTGCAGTTTTTTGGCAAGCAGGCTCAACATGTGCAAAGCAAAATGTCAGAGGATCAGGAGAGAAAGTTGCAAAAAAGACATGCAACAACAGTGATAGGGCTGCAGAGTTAATGGAATCAAAATGTTGACTTCCAACTTGGTTTCATCTTGTGTAAATCTGACATTAAAATGTCTTATTTCACTCTTCAAATACATGCTTTGGTGCCACACATGTCTGAGCTGCTGCGCTGCATCTCACTTTCATTGCAACCTTGTGCTTAGGGAACATCTGGAAATTGTCGTGTTTATAGGTGAGCAGAAGTTTAACAGTGAGGAGTCTGGGGTATAATTTTATTTATTTATTGCCTTTAGGAGACACACTGAATTCAGGTAATGAAGAACCTTGTTTTAAGTCTTAATTTGATGCAGATTTATATATCAGCAGGAGTGTAGCTCAGCATGGAAGTAAAAGAAGTGCTCTGTGAAAGTGTAGGAAACATTTTTTGTACACTAAAATCACTGAAGTGGATATACAGCACCCTCTATAATTATTGGCACCCCTGGTTAAGATGTGTTAAAAGCCTTAGAATAAATTCAATTTTTATTGCAGAAGCATACTCTCACACTGAAAATTGTAAAAAAAAATGCAACCTTCAACTCAAATGCATTGTTGGCAAAAGGGGGTTGTACAAAGTGTTAACATCAAGGGTGCTAATAATTGTGGCACACATGATTTGATGTAAAAGAATTACTTTTTAATGTGGGATTTTTTTTTCACACTGAACAAATGCACTTGAATTAAAGGTTGAATTTTCTTTTTTTTTTCACTGTGGTCCTCTATTATTTAGAAAAAAACTGAATTTACTAGAAGCTAAAGAACACATCTTAACCAGGGGTGCCAATAGTTATGGATGGTGCTGTATAATGCACACACACAGTTAGACCTACAGACAATGGAATGTAGAATAACATGAAAATGTAAGGACTTTATTAAACTATAAACAATGGGGTGGATAGAGGGTAAATCCTTGTCTCTGATTGGTTGTCCTGCTGGAAGCATACAGTCATGTGAGAAAATAAGCACATCTAAAGGAAATCATTGAATTTCAGATCAGCTCTATAATCAGTTTTTGCTCTCTTTGATTACTAATAATTGGTACCAGCATTGGCCCTGAAAAAGCATATATCAGACCCTATCTATGAGTCTGAAAAAGGCTTTAAAAATATTTCCAAATTATTTCAAATAAATCACTTCACTGTGGGGAAAATCATCTACAAACAATTTTAAACGACTGCCAATTTGTCAAACAATGACTGCCCCAGCAAATTCAACCCAACAGTAGAGCGTTTGTCTAAACATTTATCCCACAATCTGCAGGTAGCTTGAGTTGCAGAATGGTTGGTGTCAAAATGCTGCATTTACAATCAAATAAAGATTGCATAGATTTGTCTTGTTTGTTAGGTGTACCAGGAAAAAGTCTTCGCTGTCCAAAATGAATATTTGAGTTTGCCAGTGAAAATACACACAAATAGCAGCAATGATGTGACGTGATCTGAACAAAAGAATCGAGAAAAGGTGTTTGGCCACAGTAAAAGTAAGCATGTCTCAGGAGGAAAAGCTCACATGGTGGCTTTAGTTTGGGGTTACTTTACTGCCTCAGGGACTAAGGAGATCTGTCCAAAAAGTTGAAGTTGAACCAGATGTGACCCTTTCAACAGGATAATCATCACGAGCAAATCCACCGAGGAATGGCTCAGAAAGACTAAATGGAGGGTTTTGGAGGTTAGATTTCAAAACCTTTGAAATGTTGTGGGAGGATTTGAAACAGGCAGAACATGCAAGAAAACCATCAAACTGATTGCAGTTGAAGGAAGTTTGAAGGAGGACGGGTCAAAAAATTCAGCTAGTCAGAAACTGATGGACACATTTTTACAAATTTACAAAGAAGTTATTTACATTAAAGGTGGAAATACTAACTTCTGAGACCAAGGGGTGCACTTACTTTCCACAGAAGAATATTACATATTTATTTAACAACTGATTGAAAAAGGTACTTTTCCTTGTAGTATTGACTAGTATGTGGAGGCTCTGTTTCAAAGAGGATCAAGTGTTAGTCTCTACTGCTGTTTAGCTAACAGTTTCCATTCCATTTTTTTTTACACCAGCGTACAAGTAATTGATTCCATCCTAAAGTTTCCTTTCACACTTCCCTCTAAGTAGGAATGCGTCACTTGATAAATGTGTCTTAATCCTTACTCTTTGAAACCATGTTGGCTTCTTCAAACATGCTTAGTTAAGTTGTATCAAACCTAACTGTGTGTTGTGCTGCATTTTAGAGACTAGTTCTGACCTGTTGAAATCAATGACGATGTCAGGTTTCTCATCGGTGACTTCTCTGAACCTCAGAGGAGTCACTGCGCTCCACACACCAAACGCCTCCTGGAAGACACGTCGCACTTTTTCCTCACTCATCTGCCAGGGGAAACGCATGATCCTGGTGGACACACAAACACACACACACACCGACTTGCTGTGACATCATAAACAAAATAAAATGCATAATAAATGGCCTGTAGTCGTAAATTCTTTGAGGAAGTGATGTTAAAGCTGTTTTTAAAGATGTTTTCTATGATTCTCCATGTCTAACACCAACTTCCAGCATAATTTCATACATTATATAAAATCACAAAAATACACAAACAAAACCAAAATTAATCTCTGCATGTAAAATAGTCTACTGTATGACATCTTGTCCTTATGGTTACTGATATCCATGCGAAAACCCTTAATATTTACTAATTAAATCTAGGTCTGGTCATGTACACATAGTATAAAACAACAACATAGCAACATCTGTGATTAAATAATACACAACCAATAGTAATAAAAAAAAGAATGTTTACTAGAGAAAATGCATGTGACAACTGTTAACACAAAGTTATTGCATGGTATGATAAAATAATATAATATTTATAATATAAACTCAGTCTAATGTAAACTTACCCTCTGAACCCCCAAACCTGTCTACAGATTTCAAAAGTAAGTTTTCTTGTTAAAAATCACCCAAATGACACCATTTATTAGCCAAAAACTGTAAAAACAGAACGAATCATCACATTTCCAACTTTAAATTAATGGTGTGTGACAAGCAGTTCTGTTCTGTTTTCTAAACCACATCTAGGCTTAAATGTGTGACATTTAATTAAAATCACTTTATTCTACATGTCTTATTTAAAAAAATGCCAAAATGTTTTTTTACTTATATGGCTGTGCTCATAAGTTTACATACCCTGGCAGAATTTGTGAATTTTTGGCCATTTTTCAGAAAATATGAATGACAAGAGAAAAACTTTTCTTTCATTCATGGTTAGTGGTTGGGTGAAACCATTTATTGTCAAACAATTGTGTTTACTCTTTTTTAAATCATAATGACAACAGAAACTACCCACATGACCCTGATCAAAAGTTTACATACCCCCGTTCTTAATACTGTGTATTGCCCCCTTTAACATCAATGACAGCTTTAAGTCTTTTGTGGTAGTTGTGGACGAGGCTCTTTATTTTGATGGTAAAGCTGCCCATTCTTCTTGGTAGTTTCTGTTGTCATTATGATTTAAAAAGAGTAACCACAGTTGTTTGACAATAAATTCCTTCACCTAACCACTAACCATGAGTGAAAAAAAGGTTTTCTTTTATCATTCATATTCTCTGAAAAATGGCCAAAAGTCATAAATTCTGCCAGGGTATGTAAAATTATGAACACAACTGCAAATTCCATGAAAAGTTCTGTGGTCCTCAATGCAACTAAGAAGCCATGACTAGCTCATCTTCTATATTCTTTGTTTTAGCAGTTGGTCCTAACGTGCACGTGAGCGCCTCCATCTGAAACAGTTGGTTCATTAACAGACGAAGAGTGTGTGTTGTGTGTAATGTGGGTGTTTTCTAATAAGGTTTTTTTTTTTATTGCTAGTATTTCACAAAATTAACATGTAATATTACCGAAGAAGATTTAGCAATTAGCAGTAATAATATGAGACAACAAGACATTTCCTTAAATAAATGTCATAGCTGTAAAACTGTGACATCAGTGAACTCTTACTGTATACAGTACATGCATAGAATCTGTAGGTAATGACTGCAAACAGTCAGTGAAACTTGATATTTTTATCCCGCCTTAGTGCTTTGTGGCAGAAAAAAATTACTGCCACACAGTATTTATGCACATGTGGCAATCACTCCACTCAGTGTTATTCTCACATTGGCTTACAGTCACTGGTTAAAGAATGGGCTCTTTCTGGTGGTTCAGCTGTGTGGACAAGCTCAGACATGGCACACAGGATGTAAAATGAACCTCTTTACCTCCTGCACTGACAGACAGAGAAAAGGGGATGATAATGCTGCACTGGTGTACATGATGTTGTTTCCACTGTGTCTCCAGCAGTGGAAAACACTCACTCTTCTGTAACTTGGCAAGAAGAGAAAAGTAACTATTATCTAAAATGTTAAGCAATTGGGTGGAGGTCCTTTGAAGCATTTCATCGTCCCACTAGAGTTGGAGTAAGTTTGAAATTCTGAGTAAAAAACGTCAGCAAGTCCATTAGACTCTGTAAACTGAGTGTGTATGGCAGTCAGTGACTGTGACTACAGTTCATTCTAGTTCGCTTGTTCTGCACTGAGTAGGGTAGTTTAACAAAGTTTACATATTTTGGAGGCAGTGTTTTATTTCTTGTCATGTCAAGAAAAACACCAGTGTTTTCCTGTTATCGTACAACCGCTTGCACCGGATGCTCTCTCGAATAGAGTGCTTAAAGACTCACAACACAAGATTCTGTGCAATGACGCACAAACACACTTAAAACCCACAGAATGACGCAGTGCTGGATTGATTTAGGGCTCCGCTTTGTCCCACTGACCCATCTGATAAACATAAATAAAGTTTCGACATGTGTTTTGCACAAAATTTCCTGTCATCTCAATTAACCCAAAGGATATCTCCGTGCTATCTATGGATTTTTCATTTACATTTAATATTATATTGCATATATGAATGGAAAGGCTTATACAGTTAAAGGTGAAAAGCAGAGAGGATGGAGTCACACAGACAGCTGCGGATACCATGAATGCACAGTTGTATGTATTTGTGCATGCACACTACTGCCGAGCATGTGCACCACTGGTCTTGTAACGTATTCGCTACACAACATAAACTTTGTGTGTGGAATGTGTAACTCCAGCCTAAGGCCAGGACACATGCTGCCCAAAATCTGTGTCCACACAAACTAAACTACAAGGACAATGACACTCACGCAGTGCAGTAGTGTACATGAGTAGAACACATAGATGTTGACCTACTGTGCATGTACAGAATGAAGTCCTCCCTGGGAAGTGGACTAGTAGTACAGTAAAGTAGCATAATAGCAACAATTACATGTTGGGGTGTCTGTGAGTGTGTCTACTGGTAGTATAATTAAGCCTTTAAATGCTGCAGTGTTCTCTCCTTTTATCACCGACATTGGTCTTATTTACTCTTTACACAAATAAACGTAAGGCAAACTCATCTGATGTTTTTTTTGTTAAATGACAATACACAGATTGTTGGAGTCATCATGGAAAGTGAAACTAAATATAAGAGATGTGTGGTTGAGTTTGTTAATTAGTGTCACTCTGGTTTCCTTGGTTTAAGAAAACTAAGGACATGATCATTATTTTTCTGCCTTATTTTTTGTTATTACTTGAGATTTTCACTCTGTAGTAAATAACTGATAGAGATTTTTAATGTGGAACGATTGTGAATCAAAAACAACCCAGTTTGACACTGTTTTGTGGGTTTTCAGTGGTGAGGAAAGAGCAAGCAGTCCTCAGTGACGTATCACAGCATCTGTTTGTTGAACACAAGCTGTTAGGGTGGAGGTGCAAAGTATTGCCTGAGTCCAGAGACCCTTCATACCATCCAGCTTTAATAGATTAATCTGAGTAATACGAGGTGTGTGTGTGTTTCACTCGCCTTTTGTTGTACATGCTTGTTGGTGATGTTGTTGTCAACGCTTTGCTGTTGAATGTCTGACTGTAGTTGTAATGTATTTTCTGTTGTGGTTGAATTTGTCTGACAGTTGCCACAGACACAAAGAATTTCCAAAAAGATAATAAGAAAAACAGACTAGCTCTAACCATTATTACATATTGTAAGTTTTAATTACAGGATGTATGCAAGATTGATGAATTCAACTTTCTACTTTGCTGCTTTAACCACTTTAACTTCAAACAATCGAGGCCACAAGCCTTCACAGAAGACTAAAAGAAAACACATTTTCCAGTAAGCAACCCTTCCTCCATCCTTTCTTCAGAAGTGAACACCCATACATAACTAAGAGTTCCGGGGTAAAATGGATTTGTTTATGTGGAGTTCATGACAACCTAGAGCCAAGTTACAGAAAGGGGATGTTCATTAGTGGTTACTGGAGAAGGCAGGACAGCGAGATGAGGCCGTGGTCAGCAGAGCTCTTGTTGTCTAATATGATGGGAATGTAAGTTTAAAATTTGTATTGGTAACTTTAACTCAGAAAGCCCCAGTGACTAAATAAACCTATTTTTAAAGATGATTCCATCAATTAAAGATCAAAAGTCATCACACCTTAGAAGACACATAAACATATAGTCATAGTGGACCATTCCATTTAAAATGTACCAAATCTGAAGAAAGTTCCCACCTGACTCCCTCAGAATCAGCTGATCTTTTATGTACAGTAATGTTAGTACATTTAATGACATAACGCAAAGTTTTACCTTCACACTGTGAATCTAGAACTACCATAGGGGAGGGCATATTTCACACTTTTCCTTTATTGCTATTTTTTCCATCATTTCTGAGCCTTATAACTTCTTCAGTACAGGAAATAGATACATTAAATTTTCAGGACTGAAAAATACATCCAAGCTCTGTTAAAAATGGCAATCACATCAATTACATAGTCACTCCAGGTGTTACAATCTAAAGCCAAATTACAATGTTTGTTTAACACATTTTTTCTACAACCAACTTTTAGCATCAGTATTATATGATATATCATATTTTTAATAGCAAACCTGCAGCAGTTTATTGTCTGTGACATAGAGTCATAGAAACAAGCAGTATTACTGTGGACAATCTGTCTGTTTTTTGATAATTTACCAGAGAAAACCCTAAAAAGTGCATTTTGCGTAAATTCTCAAGGGTTATATAACCATGTGGGATAGGTATCATAACAAGGCAGAGTGGAAGCAAATCAAATAAAAGGTCTAATTTTTAACTACATTTGATACCAGGCTCATTTGCTAACCACGATCCCCTCTGTGTCAAAACTATTTTCTAACAGGCATGTTTTGTTAATGTATAATAATTGTACAATGAAGGTGGGAGTTGGGAGGCATCCAGTGATTTTTCAAAGAACAAGAAAAACAGGGACAAATACGTGTCTCATTCATTGGTAAAAAAAAAAAAAAAAAAAAAAAAAAGTTCACACTAAGTGTCTGACTAAGAAAGTCTTCCATCAAAACTTTCATCAGTGCATTCATGAATAAATGACAGTTGCAGTAATAAAACTACTGCAAGCCTAAATAAACCAGTGGAACAACAAAACTGAATGTTGGTGTTTCTTACTTGTAGGTGAGGTCAGTTTTCTCCCACCGCCCTCCAAACAGTGCAAATCGCTTTTTGCGCTGCTGTCTACTCAGGCCTCCCGCCTTCTTCTTCTTCAGGTGGTAGTATGACATGTTGGCCTGCGTTAGGGTGGGATAGTCTGGGACTCCACAGCGAGGACGCTTCCAGAACTCTGTATCATTTTGGGAAGCTGCAAAAAACTTCAAATGGTAGTCTTCATTTCGCGTGTCCTGCTCGTGTCTTCCCCTCTTCTTCTCACCAGTGTGACTGTTGCTGTGAGGCCATCCCTGCAAACACATACATTTTTACACCTGTGAACTGTCAAGTGAATTCCATCCGTCTACGCAGTTCACAAAACTTTTACTGCTCAAGGATAATTTTCGGCTTATGTTCTTAAAAGACCAGTGCGTGGGATTTAAGGGGCTCTACTAACAGAAATGGAAAATAGTATTCAGAATCAGTTTAGTTTTCACGAGCGCATAGCAGCTTGTGACTATGATTTGTTGTGTTTTCTTTAGCTTTGAATGAGCCCTTCATATGTACACAGTTGACAAGCTGTCTTCCACTGATCCCGACATGTTGCCCGACATGTTTCTACAGCAGCCCGAACAGACAACAGTCTACTCAGTTGCAATCTGCAGCCTCACAGCTAGATGCCACTAAATCCTACAAACTAGTCCTAGAACTGTTACAAAAGGCTAACACAAACAAACCCAACATAGTCCATCCATTATCTATACACCACTTTATCCTCGGTAGGGTCGCAGGGGGGCTGGAGCCTATCCCAGCTGATTTAGGGAGAAGGCAAGTACAGCCCAGACAGTCTATCACAGGGCTACATTTAGAGACAGACAACCAAGAACACTCACATTCATGCCTACGGACTATTTAGAATCACCAATTAACCTCAGCATGTCTCTCGACTGTAGGGGGAAAATTGAGCAACTGGTGAGAACCCAGCTGCACAGGAAGAACATGCAAACCCCACGCAGAAAGACCCCCAGGGTGAGATTCGAACCAGGGACCTAACCACCGCTCCACTATGTGAGGGGCCTTGTGATATGTTTCATGCTTTCCATATCCACTTGTCCGAGACTGTGCGAGGAGATTCTCTGTCATCCACACCTTTATAATTCATCATGAAAACATGTTAAGAGATTCAGAGCTCAAATAAGGTTTAAACTTCCATATTCTCCAGAAATCCAATGCTTTTACTGCCCACTGTGGCTGGTGCACCTCAGGAATAGTCACTGACAGGGTTGTACTAAGTAACAAACTGCTATAATTTGTAAAAAGTACAAAGTGACAGGTAGCCTTTCAGAAACATCCATGGGAGCCTAGTATGTCTGTCTGTGTTCAATATGAGGGGCAATATGGCCGTTTATGTAGTAGACCTACACATACCTGTGGTAACAACAATAGACCCACAAGTGCATCTGCTTTCAGCTTGTGCATGGGTCTGTGCAAAGGGATGTAGATACCATTAGTTTGCATTACAATGAGTGTGTAAGGGACAAGTAGTGAGTATAGGAGAGCTGTCACTTACTGGTGTCTCACACCTCATGAGCCTTTCTTTGAGGAGACAAAGTCATTAGGTCATAATAACTTAGCCTTTGTCGAAGGTTTTCACAGAGGCCCATTTCTCCCACATCCAACACACTGACTCCTTGAACTGACTGTCCTTTAATAAATCATACATCCTGATATGTGCCATTGAGATCTTCAACATTGTTGATACTCATATTCATCTATGAGTGGTCAAATGGCTCATCAGTGTACACTTCTATTTTAGTTAATCCAGCAGTCAACACAGGCAGCGTAACAGCAGCTAAAGTAACAAGGAAGTCTGACTAATTAAATTAGGTAAAAATAATTATGGACTTACAAGTCCAGATTAACAAGTATCAGGTTCAACAATGACCTGATTAACTAACAATGACACCAAAGTTTTTATAGAACTTTTACCACCTTTGTTTTTAGTTTCTTAGCAGTCTCTGGTCTCACGTTGCCTCACAGAAAATGTTTCCAATGAGTTCAATGCAGTGCGGTGTACAGATCTTAGAAGTAAGGGCACTGGTATTGCATCAATAGATAGAGAGGGGGATGAAACGCAACAGATGACCAAGTCAGATTCAAACTGATGATGGTGTGACAACAAATGAATAACCAGAAAACCCAAAGATATCCAGTTTACAACTAAATAAATAAAGTAGTAGTCACATTTGACAAGCTGAAAACAGAGAATGTTTACAAGTGTGATGAGGTGCCACACTCCTTCTTCACACTCTGACGTCACCTGCTTGCTGACTTGGTTTGGTTTCTGTTTTGCTGATGTGACAGCTTCAAGTCAGCAAGGTCAGCTGTCCCAGGTTAGCTTATGATTGTTGATGGCACTCAGGCTCAGAGTTGCTGAGCGTGCAACTTTAAGCTGAGAAGACAAGCTGGAGCAGTATATAACTATATGTAGTTGAGGTCTGCTCAGAAGGTGGAAATTATTTGGTCGACCCCCACGTGGGGCTGCTGCATCTCTGTCATGAGTTATTCCTCACATTACTGAGATAAGCTGGATAGTTCTTCAAAGGTCTTCAAGATAGTTTAATTACCTGACAAACATTCTGCTATCAGTAGTTGGAAAATTGAGCATATTTCATTTTCTTTCAGAGCACAGAAACCTCAAGTCATTCTGGAAAACATGTTTGTGCAGTCTTATCTGATAGCGCACCGTCTATAGTTTTCCTGCTTTGAGCTCCTGTAATAAAATGCTTGTCAGGATTAACTTATGATATATGAATCCACTTATCTGTCAGCTGAGACAAACACCTGTGCTCTTTGTTCTGTGAAGCTAATGGTGAAACAAACAGAGCTGTTCTGACTGAAGAGACAAAAGTTCAGTTTGAGCTTTAAGTCAGGTTAACCTCAGTCTTCTCCACCCAGTATAAAGTGGAATTAAAGGGTCTAATTTATCATTAATCGTCCTTCATGATACAAAAGCAAATACCACGACCAATGAGAATGGTTTCATACGTAAACAAAGCTTCAAAAGCTTGCTAATGTAAAAAGATTATGGATTGATTTTTATTTGAACACTTGACAATTAAAAGCCTGGCTGGCCATGAATCAGCCTCAAAAAACTAAAACAACAAGGTCTGTGGAATGAGGTGAGTGAGCTCAGCCAAATCCAGCTGTTTGTTGTGCAGTCTAGTGCACGGAGTGGTTGACTGCTGAAACATGGCTGATCAGTGGGAGAAATTTTAAATTACACGTTTAGTCTCCAGTTTGTTTTGAACAGTTTGTTACAATGGTAAAGGAGCAGTCCACTGATTATACACGTGAACTCCAGTTTACGTTTTTACAGCTCTAAAAACAGTTCTCAAAGGTTTAAATAACTGTGATGACCCCAGCGTGATCTCAGCTTTGGTGTGACAAATTAAATGTAGATCATTCAGTAGAGTTTGTGTTACAAACTGAAGCTGTGAAGTTTGAAAAAGGCCATTTTAGGATGCAGTGAGGATCTAACAAAATACTCTAATGATTCCAATATTTTGGGAGCTTCACATGATTTCTGAAGCAAAATACTAAGTCTCTAGTAGTTCAAAGCCAACTTCATTCAATGGACCAGTTCCTCTCATGGAAAACTTTGAGTTCTCTTTTGAATAATCGGATACACATTTGTAATATATCTGTATTCATGTAAGAAACACTGAGATTAAGGTTGCAGCTAACACTTCCTATCATTACTGGTAAATCTGTTGTTTATTTTTTTAAATACTGACTAATCATTATGTCAATAAAACATCTGTAAAAACCATCCATGTAAGCTTTCAAGAACCAAGAAACTGACAGTTTTGCATGAAAATCATTTTTGGCATTTTTAAAAGAAAAAACACAATAAATAAAATATTGATACAGTTGCCAGGGAATCTTTGTCGACCGATCTAGAGATATTCCCTGCTAGTTAAGTGGTGTTAGTCTTTTCTTTTTTTCTTTTTTTTAAATTTAAGTCTATGCTACATTACCACATTGTACCATACTCATGCAACTTTTTCTGTACATTAAAGCTACACCACAGTCCTACAGCTGTTACTAATCTGGCAACACTACTCACTAGTGTAGCGTCCAGAATTATTACTGCAGGGTCTCATACTAGCTAACACTATCAACTCCCTATCAAAGTTCCAAACCAGATGGAGACACCCCACCCACCACCCCTCAACATGGACAGATGGTATTTATTTGTCCTGCATGGATTCAACCCTTTGTGTTAAATATTCGACCAAAGCTGAAATGGAGCAAACATGGGGCACCTTTTCTAAATCACACAAGTGACCTTCTGTGGTTTTGGATAGACTGTCTGCTGTTGAAAAAACAATGAACACAACTGGATACATCAATTATTCAATGAATATTTTTTGCTATATATATATCTGAATGTTACTCCCACTGGAAGGAACAAGGGCTGCAAGGTGGCTCGGTGGTTAGCACCGTTGCCTTGCAGCTAGAAGGTTGCCAGTTTGCGCCCTGGTAAGGACACCTGGGATCTTCCTGCGTGGAGTTTGCATGTTCTCCCTGTGCAGCATGGGTTCTCTCCAGGTTCTCCAGCTTCCTCCCACACAGTCCAAAAACATGCCGAGGTTTACTGGTGATTCTAAATTGCCTGTAGGTAGTGTGCTTGGTTGTCTGTAGCCCTGTGATAGACTGGCGACCTGTCCAGGGTGTCCCCTGCCTTCACCCTGAGTTAGCTGGGACAGACTCCAGCCCCCCCACGACCCTAGTGAGGATTAAGCGGTGTATAGATAATGGAAGGAACAATGCTTTGCTGCCCAACATGCATACTGTAATAATCCAGTAGTGGGTCTTCAAACACTTGGCAGAGCTTACAGACAGTCCAGTTTAAGTTGAGTGACAGAACTAAGGCAGGAGTGTTGGAAAGAAGGACATTTTTATTTAAAACGTATGAACACAAAGTCATATACCACTGAAACAAAGCATCGTGTATGCTGGGGGAATCCTGCTGACAGGCCAACATGTCCCCACAGGACACTGTGGTTGCTGCGTCTCGCCCAAATTGGCGTGCCCGAGCTTCAACCCAAATTAACTGCTGAGCCCGTCAACAGAGAGAAGCATTGTAGTTTTATCTAACAGGTGGCATCTGTTACATTAGAGAGTCTTTGTGGATGACACTCAAACATGTAAACACAATGGGTGAATGCAGGTATGAACATGCACACAACCAAAAAATGTGCACCACACACACAGGCACGCAAATCTATTCCTCGAACCTCCACAG